TTTATTTTTTACTGTTGTTATTATTATTTTTGTACCCTATCATTGTTATATATCATTAATACGCTATATTATTAGTTATTATTATTATTGTAGTATGTATTACATTATTATTATTATTATTATTATTATTATTATTATTATTATTGTAGGTTATATTTATAGTATTTAACTACTATGTACTACCACTATTAGGCTATTATTATTATTAGTTGTAGTAGTAGTAATAGGGTATTACTAGTAATAGTTTGTTGCTATTATTACTCTTATTTTTTATTTTTATTATCATTGTAGTATGTTGTTGTTGTTGTTGTTATAATTATTATTATTTTATTATTATTTTATTTATTTTATTATTATTATTATTATTATTATTATTATTATTCATTCATTCATTCATTTTCTTTTCGGCTTAGTCTATTTATTAATCTGGGGTTGCCACAACGTAATGAATCGCCAGTTTATCCAGCACATGTTTTACGCAGCAAATGCTCTTCCTGCCGCAACTAATTTTATTATTATTACCCAAATTATTTATTATTTATATTTTTTTTTTTTATTATTATTGTTGTTGTTGTTGAGCCCGTGGGGAAGCACCGGATGTCGTGTGTGTGTGTGTGGGTGTGTGTGTATATATGTATATCTCCGAGGGCTGAGGTATTTGTCAGGATATAATAACAGATTACAGCAAATCATGAGTCCAATTGTGTGTGAAGGATGATCCCCGGGAGGCGCCACCTCTAATCACCGAGGAAAACAAGCCCGATCCTTCACAAATATTTCCGTAAACGTTTGACGTGTCGCCGGTTGTTTTGTTGTGTTGTGGAAGTGGCTGAAGCCCCAGAATCAGCCATGCGTTCAGTTCAGCCCGGGCGACACCCAGCTGGAGACGTCACCGGCCGCGGCCAATGAGCGCCGGCGCGCCGCGGGATAAAGCCTCTTTCGGGCCGACAGCCGCTCCTACAACCTCGGTACCGACAGACAACGGCGAACACCAACACCGACAGCACCGACACCCGTCCCGGAGACCCTGACGCTGGCGGCGGATAAAAGCAGCCGGGATTTAGCGCGCGGTTCTCCTGCAGGTAAAGCCGCTTCACACTCCGCCGATTCTGCGCTTTAAGCTGATGGAGCCTCAGATGAACACTTACTGATACTTACAGATTATTACCAATCAATAACTTCTGTGCCTCACCATAACACAACTGATTAAACTCGGAATAAACCCAGCGAGGTGCTTTATAAGCGAGCAGCTTGGCGATTATAGCTGCAGTGAGAGAGGCATGCCAATAATCATTAACCAATATTAACTCATAAGCGCAAATACAGCCGCAACTGCAGCTTCACCACACTGTCCTTTTGCAGGGAATAAAACAATCCAGGCAGGAATATTTTCACGCAAGACCTCAAATGGACTAAAACACGGCAAATTAAAGAGAGGACTCTTGGAGAAATAACCGGGACACCGAGATCCGAGAAATGTCCAACAGCACTGGGCGAGGTAAAATAATAAACTACACCGCCATTCTGAAATCTGGACTGATCTATATGTGACAATAGTTAGAAAAGTATTATTTTTGAGTCACAACAATTCTGCTATAGCCCAGTTCAATTGCATTTGTCAGTAGTTTAGAAAGCTGTCTATGTAAGAGGAGTATGGGATATATTCATGTCCAGAAACGCGCAGAAGCGGCTTCATGGCGGCTTAATTGACAAGTTTCGCGCGCAGATCATTGTGTGACCGAGCTCATGATAATACTGAATATACTGTAAAATCAAGGAGAATCAGATCTAAAACTCAACACGGATTCAGGAATAATGAAGGCACAGAACAGAGGCCTGTGTGTGTTTGTGTTTAATGAGTTTATCACAGCAGAACCGCGCTCGCTCTCTCTTTCTCTCTCCTCGGCTCGGACAGATATTGACTCTCCGTTTAGAAGTGAAGGACTGAAGCTCCTCAGCTAAACTCCATCAGCTGCGCACTACATCACTGTTGTTTATTCTTCTGATTTAATTATTTATTGTGATTTAGGGTTAATAACTGCAGAATAAAAGCGCAGATGAAGAGCACACTGGAGTGTTTATCCTCGGAGCTGGATCATTATTTCAGTGGTAACGGATAGTTTATGGGTCGCATGATTGATTGTGTTGATTGTTGATTCTCAACACTGTGTCTGCCTCATTTCTACATTTGCGTCTCTCTTTTAGTTTCCACATGTTTCATCTGAACCCGCTGTTTAAATTAGTTATACATTTCATGATTGACTAAATTTGTTGAAACTAAATCTCAATATTTGTCTTCACCCTCACCGAAATGACCAATTATATTGTGTGTTCCTAAAGTCAACCCAAAACGATGATATTACATTGGAATAAAGGAGTAAATCAGGCGCTTTTTGGCGTTTAAACAATTGTAACGTGTTTGCGACGCGCCGTTTATTTATGCCATTAGTAGTTTTGTCGATGTTTACACCGTGATCTAAATTAGAGTCTCGTCATTTAAAATAAATAATTTGCACAATTAAAATGCACAAAAGAAAATTCGTCTTTGCGATTCTGTGGGAAAATATTGACTGTAAATGAGTAAACACTGCGCTGATAAATGCACACAATTCCTTCAACACAAATGGATAAATTCAACACTTTTAATACATTTATGTGGATTAAACATAAATTAAGTTTCCCCAATGAAATCACAATAATTGTGTTGATTCAGCTCAGGGTAAATAAGTAGCTTGAACAAGTAGCAGAAATCGTTTCTTTAGTGTGGTGAATATCTATCTCCGTGTGTAATATAAATATATATAGGTTACAGTATATTTACACTCATTTTTTGCGTGTTCAAACTACTTAATTAAAATGAGCTGGAACAACACAATTCTTGTGATTTCACTGAGGCAAATTAATTGTTTTGTTTAATCCACATCAATTTGTTAAAAGTAAACTTAGTCGATTTATGTTGGGACACATGAATGAATTGTGCGGATCCAGCATTATTCCAGTGTTTACATATAAAAGCCTTTTCAGTGTGATTGTGTTCATATAATATCACCACCAAACATGTTTAGTCCACGCGCCTGTCGCTGTCCGCGCTCCTGCACATATTCGCCCATATCTGAGCCGCAAAACAAAATAAAAACAGCAGATTTTAGAGGAAAATTAGAGTTTTGTGTTGTAAAAATCAAAGAACACCGTTTCCTGTCAACCTTAGTGTTTTATACGGAGCTTAACGAGTAAACAAACTATAACTCTAAATTCATATAATGTCACTGTATTTATAAATATAGCTCATACTGTGTGTGTGTGTGTGTGTGTGTGTGTGTGTGTGTGTGTGTGTGTGTGTGTGTGTGCGTGTGTGCGGGCTGTAATATCCTGCCGCGCTGACTCCGGCCCCTCAGTTTGACACACTCCGCTAACAGCGTTAATGGCGCCGTTTGATGTGGAAATGAAACTGCAGAAAAGCAAAAGGCGAAGGAGAAGCTGAAAGGGTTAAATTAGAGACAGTCAGTGGAGCAGCGCGAACACAAAGAGCCACAACCGGGGGAAAAGACCTTCAGGATCTCTGAGAACAACCGCGCGCACACACACACACACACACATACACACACACACACACACACACACACACACACACATATATATACATATACACATATATACACACACACACACAGCTTCAGGATGGCGTCAGCAGTGCTATTTAGACTCTTAATGAAGAAAACTCTTCTCTTGCCTTTTTAATTACTTAACCAGGCCCGACGAGCGGCCCCAAACCCTCCAGACGCACACACACACACACACACACACACAAACAGACAGACAGACAGACAGACAGACACACACACACACACTTCAGAGACTGGCAGCGTCCTTGTGTTCATCTGACAGC